AGCAGGTTACAGCAGCAATATGATTATGATACATATTTTCAAGGTAAAACAAATATAATTTTTAATTAAAACTATAGAAAATACATTCACCTAGTACATGTATAGATGGTTTTGTTGTTCTTTCTTATATACATACAAACACTTGTTTTCTTTTACAGAGCACGCGTTTGTCTTTATTTGAAATGATGTTAAATTAAAGTTAAATAAATGGTTCCGTTCCCTGCAAGTTTGACAATTTTGAAGTAAAGCAAGGTTTTTGTGTAGCGTGTTTTATTCATTAAGAAACTCTTTCATATCAATCCAAAGATTTGTAACTGAGGTTCAAGCAAAGAATACATGATTCTTTGTTTAGTTGCTGCTACTGCTGCTACTATATTTATCATTGTAAAAAGTTTAATGTGCAAACATTAGATTTCTTAACTGCAAGTTGATACAGAATTGTCCAAATCTCTTGTCCTGTAATATTGGTTACGTTCGGTATCAAATACTGCCAGCATAAACCAAAGAGGGAAACTTTCATCGAAGTTCATTTGTTTTTCTTAATAGAATTCCTGCAAAACAAAAGGCAAACAATAAGCTATGATATGTTATGTAAGGGAATCAATTAAATTCGTTTACGGAACAAAATAGGTTACAGTTTAATTTAAGGAAATAAACGAATTTTGATTTTTGTACTTCTTTGTCTTCTTCTATTTCTTTTCTCATTGTCAATCACCGAATACGCGTTTCGTTCCATTTTCAGGCTAAACACAAGATCATTATGCTATAAAAGAGGAAATATATAAAGACAAGAGACTCATCAATAAATCTATATGATTTTTGTCCTGGGTTATAAGTAAACGAACGAGCAATATTAAACATTTCTTATCCCAAAATACCATGGTCACACATGTAGCATTATATTATTATACTGTATAGATAATTCATAAATCGTTGATGGTTAAAAAACAGACCAATAACGTAATGGTAAGATTGTCCTCTAATTATGATCCTCGATAATAAAATTCATATCATATAATACATCATACACATGATAAGCTATCTGATCTCACTGAATACTTCCTTTCACCATGTCAAATCTCTCACGTTGTCAAATATGTTTTACACAGGAATTGTGTTCTCAATGAAAAAATCTGTACTTAGAAACAAATTGGCGTGAACGCAATTTGGATTGAATCATTCGAAATATAAATGTTTTGTTGTAACACTCGATCTCAAGACCATTTGTTAGCAGTAATGGTTAGGAAACGGATAATATATAACAATCTCCTCTTTGCTGTGTCAAGAATGCGGTACATAGAAACAATTGGCGTCAACGCAGACATATCATGCAAATTGGATTCAATCATTCGTAATATAATGTAACTATTTTGTTGTAACACTCGAACTCAAGGTTATTAGTTAACAGTAATGGTTTGGAAACGGTTTATATATAACAATCTCCTCTTTGCTATGTCTAACCAGACAGAAACATATAATTTATAACTGCGCCGAAAGAATTATCTTGGCTCTCTTTAAGATGTTCAAATATATTCATCATTTACCGCATAACCATTGCCCTTCATTTAATACAATATGTGAAAAATTCCAAACTTACTACCAATTTTGCATACACATGTGTTTAATGTTGCTTTCAAAAAAGTGTTATTAAATCGGTGTTGTAAAAGAAAGCCAAAAAAAATATAAAAAATTTAAATCCAATTATTTTTTCCACAAAAATGAATATCAATTGACTTTCTTTTTTTCTTTTTGTTTTTCTAAATATGTATGTGCAAATATTTCTACTTGTTCGAGAGCGGCTTCAATTAAACAATGATTTATTGCTTTGTTACATACAAGAAAGGTCGGTTCTCTAATAATTCATGTTCCCTGAACAATAGGTGGCATGTCATTTTCGACATGTCAACATTTATTTTCCAAATCAGTGAATAGAAAGAAAACTTGGCAAAGTGTAAGGAAATTTTCTCATGCACGTTTTTCTTATATTATTTCTATTCATTCTTGTTTTGTATTAATTAATTGGCACTCGTGATAACGAACAATTATTCAGGTTTATACACATTCATTTCACTTCGCTGTACAATGAGCGGAATTGACATTAAATTTCGTTTTTTATTTGATAAATTTATGTAATAATGATGATATCATAACATAACCCGGTCTTTATAAACTTGTAATCAACGATTTATTTTCGAAATTGTAAACATGTACAGATTTAATATTTTAATGGTGACTTTTATTTCGTAAATTTAACATGCTACAGCAACCTGCCTCATTCTCATGTTATCTTACTATATTACAACTTATAGTAATATTTACGTTAGTCAGACAAGACTATCATTTTTTTTAAAAAGAGTCCCTATAGAACTTCAAAATGGCAAAATCCTGCATTTGTTAACTATTAATTTCGTAATTGTGGTCCAAAATCAATCGCAAATTGTAACAATCTATATTGTTTCGTGCTTCAAATTTAATACCTATCGTAATTATGTGATTGTTAACACAAAATATATCTAACGGAGTTTTTTGTAACTTTACTATGTTATTTTCGAAAGAAGAATCCAGGTGAATAAATAAGATTTAATATGAATGATAATGAATATAAACTAATAATGATAGACAATAAAAAGAAACAACAATGGAGATAAACCAATCTAATAATGCATTCATTTAAAGAAAAAATTTGATTTGGCTTTCTTACAAATCTTAAATCCATTGACATAACTTTTTTACTGTTTTTAAAGTAGTCATTATTTAAAAAAAAATAAAAAGGTTAAGCATGTCACAAATAGCATTAACAATTCAGCTCTGTTAATTGGATTCAATCGTGTGGGATATGAATATAAAATATTTCCTGTTGTAACATTTGCTCCAAAAGATCATCAATCAAAACTTCTTGCTGGGAAAAGCTGAATTTGTAGTTAATACTAGTGCGTATTTTGACCTATAAATTGACCAACTAATCAATCGTTTTACTGGCTATTGCGTTAAGATTGACACATGTGTTTTAAACGTAATAATAGAACTACTTCTTCTCTCATATTTCCTGTAATATCTTTATAACACTTAAACAATTCAGACATATCAATTTGCTTCGGGATCATTCAATTCTGGTTAACATCAGACTTTTTTTCTTCCTTTTTTGCTTTCTGTAAGAATATGATGTCAAATTATAACAAAATATATAATATTCTCATTTTTAGTCATAACCTGAACGCGTTCCCTCGGTTTTTACATAAAGTCAATGGTTTTTTTAGTAGGCGTTCTTGTTGAAGAAATATCATGATCCTGGATATCTTATCTTCCAGAAAATTCCCCCATACTCAATACCCCTATAATTTATACATATAACATTTTTAAATATTTAGTTATTACCTTCTTTTATGTTTTCACTTAATTTTCTATAATTGTCACTCTTTAATTGTAAATTATTATTTTAAGTTGTTGTTACTCTATTGTCGCGCCCTTCAGCCCTACAAACACAAACGTTTCGTTTCGTTTATTGATATCAGCTCAGTTTGCATATATACAAATACAGGAGCAAAAACATTATATAAATAAAACAGACAAAGTCACAATGATGAACAGCATGCAATATCTCAGAGGACAACTTAAATCATGAGATTATATACGTTAACCATCGTATAATATAGTTAGCTATCTATTACATAATAAAAATGCGTAAAATAAACAGTACAGGAGAAAGTAATAATAATAATAATGACTAGATCTATATATATGAAAATCAGTTTCAGAGGTAGTATATAGTCTAGAATTATACTACTTAGTAAATTCTGAAAGAAAAAAAAGGAAAAGAAAAGTATTTCTTTTAATTTGTCCAGAGCGGAATCGGACCACAGGGAAAGAAGACTTTATCGGTCTTCCATAGTTTACTTGTGTTACTAGTTACTGATTGGTCAGTATCTACCGTTAAAATTACGTCATATGTAAGATTTGATACGGGTCACTCCCTGTTTGTCTAGCCAGGTGTAAGTGTGTTATTAGGGCAGACGCTCGTGTTTACATTTTAATGGGTAAAAGATGCATGTGTTTTGTGTTACAAGTACCAACAAAAAGAAAAAAGTTATTATTCAATATGGATTTATACATTGTCCAGCATGATTTATACATAATAAGCTTGAGAGTTTCACAGACTTTGGAGATAGGTGAGTTTACTGTACATGCATATTTATCATTTTGTCAGAGAAAAGGAAGAAAGGGGGTGTGACTTTTCTATAATAGTTACGCCGTTATTATGACACGAGGCATTGCATGTTTTATATATAAAATATTGTGGAACGAACAACAATATACATGTGTATTTACAAAAATAACTGGAAAAAAAAAATGTACATGATAATAATGATGATGATTTAAATTGAAAAATTGTTCAGCTTTGCAATTTGGTCACAATCATTTTCTACAGAATAATATGTCTTTTATGCTTTAGTACTGATTTATATTACTCATATATGTAAAAGCAGATTTGAAACATGTAAACAAAAATAAGTAATTGAAACACAACATGAGGCATTGCATGTTTATACATAAAATATTATGGATTGAGCAACAATATACATGTGTATTTACAAAAATAACTGCAAAATGTACATGATAATAATGATGATGATTTAAATTGAAAATTTGTTCTCATATATGTGAGAACAAAATAAAGACATGTAAACAAAAATAAGTAAATAAAACACAGCATATTGTATACATAGTTATGCAAATAAGCATAAATGAGTTTTAACTGTACATTCAGGTTACATTTCTTGTAATTATATTGGCAAACATATACATACATATTTGTTATTTATATGATTTGCCATGGGACTTACAACTCTTAATCGAAAAAAAAAAAAAAAAATATTAAGAGTTATTAAATGTAACATCACTTTAATACATTGACAAAAATGTACATATTTGTTATTTAATTCAATTGTCTTGCCATCTTGCTTACAACTCTTAATCGAAACGAAAACATAAGAGCTATTTAATAGACCCTTCTCAAATTATATGCATACCTGGAATTCCAGAATCAGAATGAGGCTTAACTGGCACGAATGTAAACACACTGACCACTCTTATCTCACTTTATAGCCATGATGTCTGGTGTTAACACGAAACGTTCTAATTATCATTGTTGTGTGCCTATGTGCAATTCTGATGGTAGATATGATTCTACAATTCATTTTCATCATATTCCAAAGGATAAAGATTTAAAAAAACAATGGATAACTAAGATAAGAAGGGATGAAGGGCCATTGTTTAAGGTAAGTGTCCAAAAATAATATTTTGTAAACTCTGACCAATATATGAGTTGAATATTTTTTTGTGTGTAAAAAGACAAATTTTGTAAAATAAATGTAATAGTGGGAGAATTGTTTTCTTTTAATCTAACAGTTAAATCAATAGTAATTTAAACTTTACTGTAAATTATTATCAATTTAAATTTACGCTACAAATAGAGAATGGAAGCTGACTGATAGTTACCGTATAATTCCTAAATTTAAATGTATGTTGTATATTTTAGGTAACTGCATCTACTGTGGTGTGTTCCAAACATTTTAAAACTGAGGATTACAACTGGACACCACTAAGAAAGAGACTGAAAAATGATTCTATTCCATCAGTTTTTAATTGGGTAGAACAAACAACTCCAAGAAGACCATTGAAAAGAAAAATTCTTTCACCAAAGAAAATGCTCATTGAAAGGTAATTTATTTTTATTGTTAATTTATTGATTTAACTGATATCTTTATCATATCATTATACACATATAAAGCTAATTTATGTTTAATAAATGTATACCACTTATATAAAAAAATCATTTGAATTCATACTGAATACGTAATAGGTTTTTGTATAATATATATTTTTCAGTAGTGTCCATAATGAAGACGAGGAAGATATTACAACAAGCACTGATTGCCTGCCATCTACATCTGTGTCTTCAGAAACAGACGAGGAAAGTGATATTAAAAGGCTGAGGTTAGAACTGGTCGAGGCCAAAAAAAGATGTCAAGACCTTGAGGCTCAGCTGAGCTTAGAAAAATTTGGCATTGAGCGATTCAGTAAAGACGATTCACTCATGCTGTTTTACACAGGATTTACTTCTTACAAACATTTTTATTTATTTTATCGTTGCGTTGAACCAAACGCAAAAACTATGGTCAGTGCATATTACCAGGGAACACCTACATTTAGTTTAGCTGGAAGAAAACGGAACATGTTATTAATTGATGAACTGTTTATGTTCTTATGCAGATTAAGGGTAGGTCTATTAGAACAAGACCTCGGTGTCAGATTCAACTGTTCTATATCGACTGTTAGCCGAAAAATAATAACATGGGTTAACTTTCTGTATATGGTTTTGGGCAGGATACCACTTTGGATGTCTCGGGAAGCTATTGATGAATGCATGCCCGAGTGTTTTAAAGTACTGTATCCAAAAACAAGAGTTGTGATAGATTGTACGGAAATTAAGACTCAGCAGCCTTCATCTCTTGTTTTAAATTCTCAGATGTATTCAAATTACAAAGGGTCATGCACATTTAAATGTTTGCTTGGTGTAGCACCCCATGGGCTTATAACATTTGTGTCACCATTATATACTGGATGCATGTCAGATGTTGAGATCACTAAACTTTCTGGTCTCCTTGAACTTCTGGAAAATGGAGATGATGTGATGGCTGACAAAGGATTCACATTGAGAAAGATACTTTCAGAAAGGGGGGTGACATTGAATATACCAGTATTTTTAAAAAATAAAGGCAAATTTACACTAGAAGAAGTGAAAGAGACTGAGCAAATAGCCAAACTTAGAATTCATATAGAAAGAATTAACCGTAGAATTAAGGAGTATCACCTGTTTGACACACCTATTCCATTATCTCTTGCTGGTTCTGTCAACCAGTTATGGACAGTAGCGTGTATACTTGCTAATTTTAAAGGACCAATAGTACAATCATGGACAAAATGAAATAGTGTTTCTTAGGGTTCAGGGCCAATTAGTTGGATATACAGAAACAAGTTTATAGGAAAACTACTTCTACTTTGTATAATGTAGAAATGATATTATATGTTTTATCATGTATTGGAATTTGAAAAAATATAAAAGAATAATAAAAACAATATTTAAATGAAATATTTATGTTTAGTCTTTATTAAAATTTTGAAATAAATACATCAATTGATTTCAAATAAAGTGATCAAAATAAAACATGTCAATTTTATTTTTCACACTGTTCCATATATCACGGTTTAAGTATATTGTTTCCTGGTGACTATCCCCTGTGCACCAAACAAATAAATCGCACCAGTCTAATCCAGACACGGCCAGCTGTGTTAATATTTGGTAGTAGTAATTATGATTTCGTTTCAGCTTCAATTGTCCTGCATCATTTCCAATTAGATATTTACATTCAATAACAGATGAAACTTGTGGGCATTTTATTTCCAAAAGTCCAAATGGTGGGAATCGTTGTGGATTATAAACTTTTCTGTCTGGACTTGCCGCAAGCCATGGTGATTTGGGACAAATAATAAGTCCGCATGGATATAAGTTAATTTGATTATCATTTTTCTTAGCATATTCATTTGCTGCTGTAGGTTCTAAAGCAATGCCTTGTCTCATTGCGGCAGTTGTAACATGCCGAGTACTTTTCAATCTTTTCACCAAAGTACTTTCATTCTTTTTACGTTTGAATATATCACCAATGTTTGATGCTGTCACCCTATCCCGTCGAAGTTTATACCAGAGGGAGCTACGATTTTGAAGTCTTGTAGAAATTTCAAATTTTGTGATGTTATGTTGTGATAATTTCAGACTTTCTAATTTTAATGTTTGGTTTGATGTCAAAACTGTTTGGTAACAATTTTCCATCACATTATTTACTGGTAAGTCTGGAAAAGAAACACCATCATAAATATTTAAAACGATATTATCATCTAGTCTCTGTTGATAGCTTAATACAGATCCTGCAGGCACAAGGCCAAATTTTGATGGCACCAGTAGTATAAAAGTGGGGGGGGGGGAAATCACCACCTAGGTGGTTCTTGCCCTTTGGGTTACTGCGCATGCGTGAAAGGGGAGATAAACGTGAAAATATGTTCAATGACCTCCTGGGGGGCCACTAGAACCAAAAACAGGTCTTAACTCCATTGGCACCAAAAATTCCTGAAAGTCTGAGAGTACCTCAGAATCAGTCGCAGACCTCTAAAATGGACTCTACAGGGTCGCTAGAAGTCAAAACTACAATTATCTGCATTGGCACCAAAATTTCCTGAAAGTCTGCGAGTGTCTCAGAATCAATCGCAGACCACTGAAATGGAGTCTTGAGAGTCCCTAGAAGTCAAAAATACAATTATCTGCATTGGCACCAAAAATTCCTGAAAGTCTGCGAGAGCGTCAGAAACAGTCGCAGACCACTGAAATGGAGTCTTGAGAGTCCCTAGAAGTCAAAAATATCATTATCTGCATTGGCACCAAAATTTCCTGAAAGTCTGCGAGTACCTCAGAATCAGTCGCAGACCAGTTAAAATAGACTCGGGAAGGTTCCTAGAGCTCAAAATGTCATAATCATGGAACCAGTCTTAACCTCATTGACATCAAGAATCCTGAATGTCTGCGAGAATGCAACCAAACTATTCTATAACTTTAATTGTTTTACCAAGCATATCAAATTTTAAAATATTCTATTGACAAATCCCTATAATTATATTCATATTTTTTTTTGACATTACAAGTTTGTTTTTCACCAAGCTTATTAAATCTTAAAATATTCTAATTACCTGGAGTACACCATTTTTAATAAGGGGTGTCAAATAAACCCTAGTTTACCACATTCAACACGAAATTTTACCTAATACCAGTACTCCCCACCCCACCCCATCCAAACACACACACACACTTATATCAATATTGCGACCACCAATATAAAGGTTCAAAATAACGGTCAAATGAGAACGTAAAAATAAATTCAACAAGGAATATAGCTTAATTGTTTTTATTGATACAATATGTTTACCATTAACATGCAACAGTATGAAAAGTTACATACATTTTTTTTACAATTTATTGGCTAAGCATAAAATCTTCTAAAGTAAGATTTATTGTATAGTTATATAATAAGAGTATTTTTTTAAGTCATGTAACGTCCATCCAGCATTTATAACAGTGCACTAGTTCTATTGCATATATTTATATCTACATACAAATGTATATCATTCACTTTGTTGTCTCACGATTTAAAAACGACAGCGTCTATTTATCCATTTTTTTCCAGATTAATTTATAAACAGAAATGAACACTTGTAATCATTTTTCTTTTTACATTAAAAAAGGTTATTTCCAGAACTGCTCGTCTGATCAAGTGTAAGTATATGTAATGGGATTTTACACTATCATTCTATGTCTTCCTCTTGCTCCATGTCATCCTCTCCTTCCAACTCTGGATTGTCATAGGAAGTTAAGACCTTGTCAAACAGAAACCTCCTCTTAAGTATGCCGTATTTCAAAGCTTCCTCTTCGTCGTAACCATCCGCATCAATCAGCCGATTGACTGTCTTTTTAATAGATTTGTAAATGGGATCCTTTTTCATAGCATCGAACCAAATCAATTTACTGCCAAAAGTGTTCATCATTGCTTCTCTGTACGTTGTTCTCATATTCCTAAAAACCCTTTCCTTGGCTTCACTATCACTGATGTCCGTTTCTTCCTCCATTAGCTCTTTAACCTTAGAGTCATACTGCGACTGGCACTTTTGAAACACTTCATCTACAACGTCATCCCAAGGATCGATCGTCAAAGACTCCTCTGAGGCTATAGATGAATCATCATCGTCGTTACTATGATTTGAATCAGTGTCATCTACGGGTCCAAAAATATCCTCTTTTACTGGTATGTCCGACATAGCGTCTTCAATTGAGTCGATGTCTGAGTGCGCAGACTTTTTATGACGTAACATATTATACTTTCTCCCAAACGTTTTCAAACAAATATCGCAATGAAACATCGTCCTCAACGTCTTAAACTAAAATGAGGAGGAGTGAGGTAGCATTTAAGTTTATACTTGTCCTATAATTACGATGTTGTCCTGTTCACCCGTGTTCTCTGTCTTGTTTCTTCCAGTCGATGGCACTTGCTGTCTAGATTTCTTATTCTTCGTTGTTTTATCATCAACTTTTGAATTCTGCCGTTTACGTTTTGCGCTAGTGAATTGTATTTCTTTCTGACCTATAATTGACACATCTTTTGGTTTAGCTTGACGCTCGAGCATGCTTTTAGCTATAGCTGTCATCTGTTCCGCTGGAAGTACCATGCGTATGTACATTTCAGATCGCGGTGTTTTACTCCTTGGACGTCCAGTCATTTTACTTGTCCGCACCACGTTATCAAATATATCCGCCTTTTCTAAAAGTCTCTTATCTTTTCTTTCGTTACTCCTCGCAGATTTATGAAATATGTCCATATTTTTGAATTCGCGTCTTAACACTTTGAGTACCAAGCATATACTGAACTTGACAAGCTATTACAGATTCCCTTTTAATTAGCTATACTTTTAACATGTGTCAGTCAGCAATGCTCTGATTGGTTAGGGTCCATTTCAAACACATTCTTTCACTACTTTCGGCTTCTCTTTTCCCTCCTGTTTGCACTGATGTCACTCCTCACATCCCTCATGTCACTCCTCCCTTTCCTCATGTCACTCCTCACATCCCTCATGCCACTCCTCACATCACTCATGCCACTCCTCACATCCCTCATGTCACTCCTCACATCCCTCATGTCACTCCTCCCTTTCCTCATGTCACTCCTCACATCACTCATGCCACTCCTCATATCCCTCATGTTACTCCTTTCTTTCCTCATGTCACTCCTCATTCCCCTCATGTCACTTCTCCCGTTCCTCATATCACTCCTCCCGTTCCTCAAGCCACTCCTCCCTTTCCTCACGTCACTCCTCCCTTTCCTCATGTCATTCCTTCCTTTATGTAAGGCCTATTTTACAATAACTTGTTTGTAGATCTTTGTAGTGGCGTACAATGGGGGAAGGGGAGTACTAGGAAAGGGGGAGGGGCTTGGGGAACGGAGAGTGATATGGGGAAGGGGAAAAGGGAATGGGGGGAAAATACATGGAAAAAAAAGGGAGAAAATGGGGGTTTGAGAGGATGGTATTGGAGTAATGGGGAAAAGGATGACATGGGGGATTGAGAGGACATGGGGGATTGAGGAGGGGCATGAGTATTGAGGAGGGGCATGGGGGATGTGAGGGTGCAAGGAAAGGGGGGGACATAGGATGTGAGGAGTGACATCAGTGCAACAGGGGGGAAAAAGAAAGCCGAAAGTAGTGAAAGAATTTTTGAAATGGCCCCAACCAATCAAGCTTGCTGACTGAACTTTTAAAATATAGTAATTAAAAGGGGAATCTGTAAAGCTTGTCAATTTTGTATATGTTTGGGTACTCAAAGTGTTAAGACGCGAATTCAAAAATATGGACATATTTCATAAATCTGCGAGGAGTAACGAAAGAAAAGATAAGAGACTTTTAGAAAAGGCGGATATATTTGATAACGTGGTGCGGACAAGTAAAATGACTGGACGTCCAAGGAGTAAAACACCGCGATCTGAAATGTACATACGCATGGTACTTTCCAGCGGAACAGATGACAGCTATAGCTAAAAGCATGCTCGAGCGTCAAGCTAAACCAAAAGATGTGTCAATTATAGGTCAGAAAGAAATACAATTCACTAGCGCAAAACGTAAACGGCAGAATTCAAAAGTTGATGATAAAACAACGAAGAATAAGAAATCTAGACAGCAAGTGCCATCGACTGGAAGAAACAAGACAGAGAACACGGGTGAACAGGACAACATCGTAATTATAGGACAAGTATAAACTTAAATGCTACCTCACTCCTCCTCATTTTAGTTTAAAACGTTGAGGACGATGTTTCATTGCGATATTTGTTTGAAAACGTTTGGGAGAAAGTATAATATGTTACGTCATAAAAAGTCTGCGCACTCAGACATCGACTCAATTGAAGACGCTATGTCGGACATACCAGTAAAAGAGGATATTTTTGGACCCGTAGATGACACTGATTCAAATCATAGTAACGACGATGATGATTCATCTATAGCCTCAGAGGAGTCTTTGACGATCGATCCTTGGGATGACGTTGTAGATGAAGTGTTTCAAAAGTGCCAGTCGCAGTATGACTCTAAGGTTAAAGAGCTAATGGAGGAAGAAACGGACATCAGTGATAGTGAAGCCAAGGAAAGGGTTTTTAGGAATATGAGAACAACGTACAGAGAAGCAATGATGAACACTTTTGGCAGTAAATTGATTTGGTTCGATGCTATGAAAAAGGATCCCATTTACAAATCTATTAAAAAGACAGTCAATCGGCTGATTGATGCGGATGGTTACGACGAAGAGGAAGCTTTGAAATACGGCATACTTAAGAGGAGGTTTCTGTTTGACAAGGTCTTAACTTCCTATGACAATCCAGAGTTGGAAGGAGAGGATGACATGGAGCAAGAGGAAGACATAGAATGATAGTGTAAAATCCCATTACATATACTTACACTTGATCAGACGAGCAGTTCTGGAAATAACCTTTTTTAATGTAAAAAGAAAAATGATTACAAGTGTTCATTTCTGTTTATAAATTAATCTGGAAAAAAATGGATAAATAGACGCTGTCGTTTTAAATCGTGAGACAACAAAGTGAATGATATACATTTGTATGTAGATATAAATATATGCAATAGAACTAGTGCACTGTTATAAAATGCTGGATGGACGTTACATGACTTAAAAAAATACTCTTATTATATAACTATACAATAAATCTTACTTTAGAAGATTTTATGCTTAGCCAATAAATTGTAAAAAAAAATGTATGTAACTTTTCATACTGTTGCATGTTAATGGTAAACATATTGTATCAATAAAAACAATTAAGCTATATTCCTTGTTGAATTTATTTTTACGTTCTCATTTGACCGTTATTTTGAACCTTTATATTGGTGGTCGCAATATTGATATAAGTGTGTGTGTGTGTTTGGATGGGGTGGGGTGGGGAGTACTGGTATTAGGTAAAATTTCGTGTTGAATGTGGTAAACTAGGGTTTATTTCACACCCCTTATTAAAAATGGTGTACTCCAGGTAATTAGAATATTTTAAGATTTAATAAGCTTGGTGAAAAACAAACTTGTAATGTCAAAAAAAAATATGAATATAATTATAGGGATTTGTCAATAGAATATTTTAAAATTTGATATGCTTGGTAAAACAATTAAAGTTATAGAATAGTTTGGTTGCATTCTCGCAGACATTCAGGATTCTTGATGTCAATGAGGTTAAGACTGGTTCCATGATTATGACATTTTGAGCCCTAGGAACCTTCCCGAGTCTATTTTAACAGGTCTGCGACTGATTCTGAGGTACTCGCAGACTTTCAGGAAATTTTGGTGCCAATGCAGATAATGATATTTTTGACATCTAGGGACCCTGTAGAGTCCATTTTAGTGGTCTGCGACTGTTTCTGAGGTACTCTCAGACTTTCAGGAATTTTTGGTGCCAATGCAGATAATTGTATTTTTGACTTCTAGGGACTCTCAAGACTCCATTTCAGTGGTCTGCGATTGATTCTGAGACACTCGCAGACTTTCAGGAAATTTTGGTGCCAATGCAGATAATTGTAGTTTTGACTTCTAGCGACCCTGTAGAGTCCATTTTAGAGGTCTGCGACTGATTCTGAGGTACTCTCAGACTTTCAGGAATTTTTGGTGCCAATGGAGTTAAGACCTGTTTTTGGTTCTAGTGGCCCCCCAGGAGGTCATTGAACATATTTTCACGTTTATCTCCCCTTTCACGCATGCGCAGTAACCCAAAGGGCAAGAACCACCTAGGTGGTGATTTCCCCCCCCCCCACTTTTATACTACTGGCACCATTTTGGGAATGTGTTTGATAACATCTAGCATTAACATTTCAGGAGCTTCTCTTTTAAGTTGTTCATAATGTTCATTCCACTTTATATCACTACGTAATGGATCATACAAAGTGGACTGAATTGAACGTCCAGGAATATCTCTTAATTCTGCTTTTGAATAACCACGAACTTCTAGATTGTCAACTGTTGTACCATCAATCTTCTGGCCTCGTGGTGCATGCCAAGTTTGTGGAAGTGATGTACTAGCTGCATCTGCTGGTATTACTCTTTGCTTCAAATGCTTAAACTTGGCAATCTGGTACAATGTCCCGGTCACATGGCCACATGATCCAGACACACCAATTGGACATGTGCAGTTAGCATAAGTTATGCTGATTTCTTCATTGCAATCTTTCATCACAACCTGAAAGAGCAATATGAAATAAAGTAAACATATCAAAATATTTTATCATCGTTAATAATTGTTAATGATCATTACATTCATAATTAAATGTATTGATTATCATCAATTCATATTACTGTTATTATGTCCTATTACAAATATGTAATAACATATACCTTCAGCTGATGGGGTTTCTCATTCTTTCTCTGTGACCGATGGCATTTTCCATATATTGCACAACCATAATCTCCTGATTGTACTGAAAGTACAGATATAAAATTCATAAAGTACATGTATCAACAGAGTTTGGCTAGGAATTAGTTTATTTCAGATACTACGGTATAAGATCTTTACTATTGAGTCAATACACATTGATAAAATCTGCCCAATACACATCTGATAAAGATTCTCCATGGGCAATTAGCGGTTTATCAGTAAGAATCAATTTGCAATTACCTTTATGTTAGCACCAAGATTTCGTAAATAAACAGAACAACTAAGATTATATAAGCAAGACAGGCAGATTTATATATAAACCAGATATTATGTTAGAAACTATGTTAATGACTGAAAAATTGAAACCGAAAGTAAAAAAATCTTTACTCTTACTCACCTCTTAAATCATGAATGTATCCCTCACAAAAATACTTGAATCCTTTATTTAGTGATTTCTGTCCTGATGAACCTTTGTTTTGTTTAATATATAACTCTACAAATGAGAAATTAATTTCAGGAACCAAAGATAAGTCAATTTCACTGTATGCACTCATGCTTTCTTACAGCTTATACTGGCTTATCAGCTTGCCAGTTATGCCTCGTTCTGGTTCAAATTCTAAAAATAGCTGTAGAATATTAAGAATGGCCTATGGCAGGTACAGGGGTTGAACTTATGGAATGTTTTAACTTGAGGGTATTTGGGTGTTGGTGATAATATCTTTTAATGTGTTTTTGTCTTGTTTCATTAAGGTAATTACATTCAAGCACATAGTGGAACTCATCTCCAGTTTGGTTTTCATTACATAAAGTGCATTTTCTGTCATTAATTGGGGTACTATTCCATCTCCCTATTTCTATTGGTAGTTTATGGTTTCTTGTTCTAAATGCCATAAATATTCTACATAATCTATTTGGTAAGATGTTGAGATATTCACTCATGATAAAGTTAGGTTTAAATATTCTGTAGTTTATGCTGCTAGTTGATCTATTGGTTATTTCATTCCAAGACTGTATATACTGATCATTTACTCTCTGTTTGAATGACAAAGCAAACCATTTACCATTTATATTTCTTTGATCAGTCCAAATATTACTGTAACCATTTTTGCAAATAATATCTTTTACAAAATTTATCCATTTAGAATTAAGCGACCCTTGTTCTTGAAGACTTAAACTGATGAAATACATTTGATTGGACAACTTATTACTATTTATATCTTGTAACTTGCTCCAGTATGATATTATTCTTGTTTTAATTTCTATATCTAAGGGTTTTATTCCTAATTCACCATATAGCATATGTGAGGGTGTTGATTTTTTTAAATTGAAAATAAGTTTATAATATTTTAGTTGTACCTTCTCCAAAATCTCATTATTTCCTACTCCCCAAATTTCACATCCATATAATAGAATTGGTTTTATCATTTTATTGAAAAGGTCAATTTGTAGGTCATATGGTAAATCCAGGTTTCTTATTTTTTTCAGAAGTGAGAACATAGCCTTATTAGCTTGCTCTGCAATGTATTTTTTAGCCTTTAAAAAACTTTTTGTTCTAGATAAATATACTCCCAAATACTTGTATTCATTTGTAATTTCTAGATCAATTCCTTTGAATTTAAATTTGTATTTATAATTATTGCTTCTTGTACCAAATATCAAAACCTTAGTTTTTGGGATATTTACTGTTAATTTCCATTTGTCACAGTAATTTTCAAAAATATTTAAGCTTTTTTGGAGATCATCACTTTTATTACTCATTAGGACAGTGTCATCAGCATACAGAATGATAAAAAGTTTAAAAAGAATTGATATATCCATATGATTTACTTTACATTCAATTCCAGGTAGGCCACTTGTTTCAAAATAGTTTCCTAGATCATTTAAAAATATTGAGAACAAAAAAGGTGATAAATTTTCTCCTTGTCGTACACCATTTAAACATGGAAAATATGCAGATGTTCCTTCATCTGTTCTTATACAAGACTTTATATCATTATATATATTCTTTATTAAAATAAGGCATTTTCCATTGATTTTACTATTAAACATTTTCATCCATAACCCATTTCTCCAGACTGTGTCAAATGCCTGTTTGAAATCAATAAATGCACAGTATAATTTTTGTTTTTTGGCACTAAGTAAATCTATCAGACTTTGGATTACAAAAAGGTTGTCAATGGTTGAGTGATTTTCCCTAAACCCTGCTTGACAGTTTGTTATAAGATTTGATGCTTTTGAAAAATATTGAAGTCTTTCATTGATTACCCCTGTAAACAGTTTTCCTAGACAACTTAAAAGAGTTATTGGCCTGTAATTTTCTGGGAATTTTGCATCACCTTTATTTTTATAGATTGGGATAATAGTTCCTTCAGTCCAACTTTTTGGTATTATACCGTTATTTAAAATAAAATTGAATAGTTGAGTATATATTGGGAGCATTTGTGGCAATGTAGATTTTATATGTTCATTTAGTATATTATCTGAACCAGGGCTTTTATTATTTCTTAATGTGTTGACTACTTTTATTATTTCTTGATCTGATATAGGTCTATTTAACTCTTCATTTAATTCATTAAGATTTTCTTCATTTTCTTCATCAGTGACTTCATCATTTTCTCCATTATTTACATCCTTGAAAAAATTATACAGGTCATCTAGCTTTACCTGTGATTTAAGACTGTTTCTGTTAACAGAGTTAATAATTTTCCAATAGTCTTTTGGTTTGTTTGATTTTAACTTTCTTAGATTTTCCACTCTGTTTTGTTTAAATTTCCTGTGTGAATTAGATAATGTGGCTTTGTACTCTTTACTGATACATTTTAAAATAGTTTTATTTTGTGCACTGTTATTTTTATTGTACATTTTGCGTGCAAAGTGGTATTTGTTTCGCAATGTTTGACATTGTTTATTAAACCAGGGTTGAGAATTTTTAACCTTATTGGTATCATGGCTTATTCTTTTTTTACCAAATGTAGCCAGACAACTACTTGAGAAAATGTTTCCTATCTGGTCTACAATTTTGTCCAAATCCTGCTGTGTTGGTGTATTTATTTGTTCAATAGTTTTAATATCATTTAGTATTTTGTCAATATTGGTCAAATCTATGTTTGATACAAATATTTCTTTTTTTTCGCCATCTTCCCAAAGTTTTATATTTTCAGCCTTTTTTGTAGGAACAAATTTTTTTAAATAGTAATCATTTGGTTTTAACTCTAAAACAACAGGGCAGTGGACATCTGAAATTAAAGGGGAAAATTGTTCAACCTTTAATTCTGTTACCATTTCTAAAACATTAACTGAACATATGTAATAGTCTATAGTGCTTTTACCCTTGCAAGTTGTTTTAGTATTTAAATAGTCTGTACCTATTCTTCCATTTAATATAAAAAGATCATTGTCAGAGCAAAAATCTATAAGCATATTTCCATACTCATTTGTATTAATATCTGCAGTATTTCTTTTCATAGGTATATCACACTTTTCAAATTCATTTTGTATCTTATATGTATCATATAAAAGCTCCTCATTACCATTTAAGGTGCATAAAAACTCATCACAATCAACATAATCTTGTTTTCTGCCTACCCTTGAATTAAAATCTCCAAAAAGCAGTAATTTAGTAGCATTCAATTTTGAAATTTCTGATTGTATTTCAAGGTAAGGGTCAGGATGGGCATATTTTGATCTTATTGGTGGTATGTAAGTTACACCACATGTAAGTTTGTCATTATAAGTTTCTTGATCAAAGTTTACTTCAAACCATAATATAAGCTTACTGCTACATTCTAAAATTTTCACATGATGCACAATGGTATCTTTCACAAAAAGAGCTATGCCTCCAGATCTATATCTTGCTATTTTTTCTCTATTATTAAAATATATTTGAAATCCATCAATTGATATAGTATCAATATCATCTAGCTTACTCTCTTGTATGCCTATAATATCATAATTGTTTAAAAATGAAATAAAATCTGGATTTATGACCTTTGATTTCAAGCCGCATACATTTATGCTACATATTTTTAATGTTTCTTTTTGTATGAATTGTTTGTTAGTCACATTGTCTTCATGTCCATGTATAATTTGGTTGTCCTCTGTGTGCCCCTATTTATCACTTTCTTCATTGTAACTATTGTGTGACATCACTCTTATTTCTAGGTCACTTTCACCACTATCTTCTGATAAAGGTTCTTCTCTTTGTTTTTTGGTTTGTAAGCCATGATCTAGGGGGGATCTTGCATCCCTTTTTCCTGTGTGCTTATTTTGGTGTCTATTTTCTGGCATATTGTCTGATAAAGCTTGGTGGAATCTATTTGCTGTTGATATTGGAGTACTGAACTGCAGGTGCCTGTTGCTATTGCAAAACACTTTTTTATTTTGTTGAACATTTTTGGCTTGTTGTATTGTGTTTGTCTCCATGTATTAGCGGGGCTTCTGTTGGGTTCATCCTCTGCTTGGTTAGTGTTATGATTGCCATCTGTATTTGTTAGGAAAAATCTTTTGCTGTCTATATATAGGCGATCCCTAACTAGTTTGACATTTGACCCTTTGTCTTTGGCAGCTCTCATTTCTGTGTATAAGACTTTCCTTCTGTCTTCTATCTTTTTAGGAAACTGATCTCTGACCGCAAACTTTGTGTTTTTTAAACTTGGTGCTGAGTATTTTATGAGGTCCTTTTGCTTTAAATCTTTAAACTTGGCAATAATAGGTCTGGGTTTTATTTGATCAGCCTTTCTTCTACCTAATCGATGCACTTTTTGAAATAGTATCTCTTCAATTGTTTGTGTTTGTAACTTTCTCGCTGAGTGCTATTAAGACAACATTTGTTTTGCTGTAACTTTTGCGTTGAAACATATATAGAGGATATTCAAGTGTTTTCTATAAATACATGATTTATTTTCATCGAGTGGTATGAAAATAAATATTTCATGAGTGGCGGTAGCCACGAGTGAAATATGGTAATTTTCATGCCACAAGATGAAAATAAATCATGTATTTATAGAAAAAACTTGAATTTTCTGTTTATTATATACATTTTTCTCTTTTTTGCGATAAAATTTGAAAGACTTTCCCTTAAATTTTGTGTACTGGCAGAATTTAAAAGAAAGTAGTCCGGGAAGACACCAGTGAAAATACGGAAAATATGTTTCACTGCAGTGAAAAATAAATTTTTACAGTGAAAATACGGAAAATGAAAATACGCATTTTATTTCATCAATATTTCTCTATATTTCATTTATAAGTATATAATAAATGTTCTTATTACGTAGTTATTATTTATAATAATTATAAATTAACGTTTTAATTGGATATCAGTGGAAACTTACTTAAAACGTTTTACACTTGTTATAGTTTTTATTTAAATGTGTTACCTTAAACATATATACTTACTGCAAATTCTTCCTATATTAAAGTATCTAAGTATTAAGCTGTTTTATGGTAAACCATTTGTATCTTAAATCTATAAACATGTTATCTCAACAATATCTTACAATGAAAATAAGTATTCGTTAATATATTTCATGCCAAATATTAAATACAATAAACATGTTGTAAAGCGTAAGTGTAAATCATTTCAGAGATTTAGAAATGTTTATAGCCTGCAAGGCTACGTTAAAATATAAGACCGTTTATTTTCAAAA